CAGAGATCACACCACTGCACTCCAACCCGGGTGACAGTGTGAGACTCTATCTCAAAAAAAAAAAAAAAAAAAAAAACCAAAGGAAAGAAAGACAAGAAACCCACCCAGGGGTGCACCCACCTGGGTGTTGACAGAAGAGGATGACAACTGTCCCACCTCCTGGGTTCTCACAGATACCTGGGAAAGGCCGAGTGAGAGCAGAGCCCTGGACTGGTCACCAGTAGAGAGTACTGCCCATTTTATCAAGGAGTGGTCGTGACGGTTTAATTAGGGAGAGGAGGCGAAAGAGCAGCACAGGATTCAAAATCGAGTCCGAAGGCCGGTCCTGATTCGTGAGGTCAGGCTTCTTGCTGGGAAGGAACCGCCTTCTCTCAGCCCCCCAGGTGTGAGGTTAATAGCAGAGAAGCCACTCCCAGCTGCTCCACACCGCCCATCACAATGGCCCTTGATTGACTGATTGACAGAATCTGGCTCTCTCACCAGGCTGGAGTGCAATGACACTATCTCGGCTCACTCCTGCCTCAACCTCCAGAGTAGCTGAGAACATAGGCATGCGCTGCCAGGCCCAGCTAGTTTTTGTATTTTTAGCAGAGACAGGGTTTCGCCATGTTGGCCAGGTTGGTCTTGATTTCCTGATCTGCCCACCTCGGCCTCCCAAAGTGCTCGGATTACAGGCATGAGCCACTGTGCCCGGCCCACACTGCCCCTTTAAACCCAGCGACCAGCAAAGAAGGCGCCTTTTACAAAATGCTGTTAAACAAATGAAGCAAGAGGAAGGATCGGCTAAGCTGGTAAACCCCGCCTGCCGTTCCACCCTCGAGGGCCTGAAGCTGCAGCTCGGAAGCCAGAATGCCCAGGTGTGAATCCCCACCCCGCCCGCTGCAGGGCGGGCAGCAGCGCCCTTGCCTTCGGGACTGGGGCCAGCTCTCTGCCGTGGGACCGGCGGTCCTGTGCACTAGATGTCAAGCGGCGTTCCTGGCCTCATCCCACCAGCACCCCCGCCACTAGCTGTGACAACCAAAAATGTCTTCTGATCTTGTCAAATGTCCCCTGTGGGGGCAAAATCACCCCTAGAGGAGAACCACTGGGCTAGATGCTTTGATGTCTTGTACCTCGGTTTCTCCATTATGAAACAGGGTCACAGAGCTGCCTTGAAAAATGAGAAAATACATGTGGAATAATCTAGAGCAGCGACCAGCACAGCACACACACTAAATATCAGCTATGGTCCAGCCAGGCGCGGTGGCTCACGCCTGTAAGCCCAGCACATTGGGAGGCCAAGGCAGACGAATCTCCTGAGGTCAGGAGTTAGAGACCAGCCTGGCCAACAAGGCGAAACCCTGTCTCTACTAAAAATATGAAAAATTAGCCGGGTGGTGGTGTATGTCTGTAATCCCAGCTACCTAGGAGGCTGAGGCAGGAGAATCGCTTGAACCCGGGAGGCAGAGGTTGCAGTGAGCTGAGATCACACCACTGAACTCCAGCCTGGGCAACAGAGTGAGACTGTCTCAAAACACACCAACACACACACGACCATTAGCTACAGTCCCTGGCATCCCGCGGTCCAGAGACGTGGAAGTGTGTGAACCACACCCAGTGTGGGGGTAGACCAACAAAGGCATAAGGCAGGCACCCAGAAAGCTTCAAGGGAGGCTGTGATCCCTTGGATGAGGTCGGGAAACTTCTAGAACCTTCTCAGAGCAAGAGACAGCTGAAGTGGATTTTGAGGGAAGTTCACGACAGGCAGATGGATAAGGAGACACGTTTCAGATGAAGGGACAGCAGGTGCAGTGGGGAGATGAGACAGGGCCCCGTCTGGACCCACAGGAGCCAAGTCGGAGCCTGACCCACGTCCTCAAGCAATTTAACAAAAAGCAAAACTACAATGTTTACAAAAAGCCCAACGGGCTGGGAACCAAGGAACAGAAGCCTGAGTTTGCCTCTCATGGTTGTTCAACCTCTGCAGAGCGGAGATACTGGGAGGACGTCCCAGGCACATCTAAGATGCCAGGACCTTAAGGCTTCCTGTCCCTGTCCCTTTAGACAATGGGATGGTTGCAGACCCCAACCATAGGCTCAATGCCACGAGCGGCCGGCAGCCCTCTGTTCCCTGCAAAGACCAGGGGCAGCCACGTACACGGGGGCCTCGAACAGAATTCTCTAAGACCGAAATGGATTTCAGAGACGCGGAAGACCTGTCAGTATTTTCTCCAGCATCAGATTCGTTGAGCTTTTCCCAAAATTAATTGCTACTTCCTTCATCCAGCTCCTGCCATCTCCTATCCCGCAACACAGGAAGCCAGGGGCTTCCAGCAGCCGGTTCCAACCTCACAACCGTGAGGCCCCGAGCTCGGCTTACCAGGGAGCAAGTAATAAGACCCCGTGACGACAGCAGCACTTTCATCGTGAATAAATGAGCTCAATTACCTCCGTGCAGAAAAAGAAGCGCTTCAAAGGGAAAGAGGGAGGAAGAGGGAAGGAGTAGAAATAATCAGTCTTAATTAGCCTTATCTCGGAGGGAAATACATATGATAATTTTAGTACCAAAAGAGATTCAAATTAGTCTCATGCCAATCATTACATGTTAGTGGGTCTTATTGGTGATGACAGACTTGGCCGTCCCCCAGTCATTAGAGTTCTAAAAATGACTCTCCTGATGAAAAGGAAACCTGAGAATCTCAGGAGGTGGATTCCCCCACAATGGGTCAGTCATCGCCAGGGGGGATCTGCTGGCCCTGGGATCCCCAGGGGCCTTGGCTGCCCCCACCTAGCGCAGCCCAAGCTTACTGCAGCCTGGACTGGCGGTGCCCGGTCTCAAAGCCATGTGAGACGCCACCCCAGGGCTTCTGACTCATCTGACAAAGCCAGAGGTGGGGGGGTGCTTACAGGGTCCCCTTTACCCATGAAATTAGCCAACGGCATAGATGAACTTGGTCACCCACCAGAATGTGCTGGGGGAGGTCTGGCTGTGCGCGCCGGCCTGGTATACGGTAGGTACTCAATGGACTGAGTAAAGATGGCGCCCTTGCCAACTCCTGGGAGCACAACAGGCTCCTTCCCGGCTATGGCTTCTTCATCTGAAGCAGGAAAGTTGGCGACACACCCCCACCCAGACCACATGGCACATGGCGGGCACTGGCTCATGGGAGGAACACTTACCGTGCTGGCCACTGCTACATCCAAGCAGGTGCTTCAGAGAGGCGGAGTGGCCCACTCAAGGCCACGAGCAGCAAAGGGGAGGAAGGAGACCTTGGGAAGCTGACACAGAACCGGAATCCACTGGAGCCCAGAGCAGGGGAGGACGCCCGGTTCAGGTCTGGTCATAGCTACTCCCTCGTCCCCCGCCCCAGCCCCAACCCCAACCCCAACGCAGGTGTGGGCTGTGGGAGGCGGGGGTCTCGTGCCGCCTCCGCCTGCCTGCCTTGCACACAGCCAAGCCCTGGTATAGCCAGGAATTTAGGATTAGCACTCAGAGACAGCTGGGGGAAGAGCCCCAGACCCAGACAGCACCGACAGCCAGCCACAGACTAGCGAGTGTGGGAACACCAAGGGGCAGGTGACCACGGTGCCTTCGTTCCACCCGCTGTATGACCAGAGTGCCACCGACCTGGGGCGCAGGGCGTCCGAGCCGGGAGCCTCATCGCGTTGGGCTGCCAACACCCGCACTGTGGTGCTTTTCCCTCCTCGGAAGCCAACCTTCCTCTCCCTCTGCTCCCCAGCGCTCTTCCTGCCTGATAAATACCTCCTAATACCTCCAACCCTTGTTATAAGCTTGATAAACTGGTGCTATGTGCTGCTAACGAGCAGCTAACGATGGCTCAGGTGTTTATATTAAAACAGCTTAATCGAGGACACAGTCGATGGAAGCGTCTCAAAGTTACCTCCGGTACGAACCAAATCCCACCTAATCCCAGAGAGCTTTCAAAAAAAAAATAAAAAAAACAGACAGACTATTCACCACCGGGACACTGTCAACTCATTTTCCAAATAAGCCATCATTTTATGGAACAGACGATCAAAGACCAAAGCAAGGTTTGTGGCTGAGATGCAGAGAACGTGTGTTTTTGGATACGTTCAGCTCTCTGGCTGGGTCTTTTTTTTTAAAAAAAATGCACCAATTACTCCAAATGCACTGCTGGCTGCATTTGGAGTAATTCATCTTGGTGATGAGTCAGGAGACATCAGGGAAACAGTGTCTTCAGAGGCGGCGGGATGAGTCACGAAATTTCTACAGTGGCATGAAAAAAAAATGGGCTTTCAAGACTTAAGTGATTAACGGCTCAATGACTTCCACCCGGTCCCACTGTTTTATGCTAAGCAATTAAGCTTGCAATCTGGAATAAAGTACTTCAACCTGAAAGTCACTTTGTGCATTTAGGTTTTAAGTAGACCTCACCCTGCAACCTTGCTCTGCTGTTCTCCTAAAACAGGGGGTTAAGTCAGGCAGGGGAGGTGAGTGAGCCGTGGGCTACGGTCAGGGAAGTCCCAAGCTGGCTAAGAAAGTGCCGTTGTTAGTGGCTGGGTGGCTCATGCCTGTAATCCCAGCACTTTGGGAGGCCAAGGCGGGCGGATCACCTGAGGTCAGGAGTTCAAGACCAGCCTGACGAACGTGGTGAAACCCTGTCTCTACTAAAAACACAAAAATTAGCCAGGCGTGGTGGCAGGTGCCTGTAATCCCGGCTACTTTGGAGGCTGAGTCGGGAGAATCGCTTGAACCTGGGAGGTGGAGGTTGCAGTGAGCCAAGATTGCGCCACTGCACTCAGCCTGGGCAACAGAGTGAGGCTCCATCTCAGGAGAGAAAAAAACAAAACAAAACAAGTGCCATTGCTGAAATCATCTCATCCGTGGAGCCCACACCTGGGCCCAGTGCCCATCCTCTGATCCTTTTCCCTAGAGGGACGTGGACAGAGGAAACCACCCAAAGCCCTCGGCCATGTGACCCGGAACGCGTGTCCAAAGCCGGGGCCAGCCCGGCCACCCGCAGGCCGCGGGCACCTACCCGTGAAGTCCTCGAAGCACTCGCAGGTGTAGCCGCCCTCGCGGCTGCGGCAGCGGCCGTGGGCACCGCACGGGCTGGAGTAGCAGAGGTCGATCTCCGTCTCGCAGTAGTCCCCGGTGAAGCCGGGCGGGCAGCGGCAGCGCAGGCCGTTGATGGGGTGGATGGGCCGGAAGAGCACGGTGGTGGAGCTGAGGAAGGGCGCCGAGCTGTCGAAGCGCAGCACGGACACGCACTTCATGTAGTTCTCGCAGGGCTCCCGCAGGCAGATGTTGTCGTCGAAGGGCAGCACGCGCTGCGTGGAGACGGCGGTCAGCAGCGTCCGGTTCAGGTAGATCTGCTCCTGCAGGTCCTCGGACGGGAAGAACCGGCCGCGGACGCCGCCGGGCAGCAGCGCCGAGAAGGTCACGTTCAGGATGTTGGCGCTGACGTCGGTGTCGTTCTGCACGTTGAAGACGAAGACGTCCTCCTTGCTGGTGGACAGCACCGCGGCCACCCCCTCCACGAACAGGGCTAGCAGTGGGGACAGGAACTTCTCCTGGGACATGTTTTCCAGGCGGACGGTGATGCTGTTGGTCAGCATGTCGTCCGTGATGATGGTGACACGCAGGGTGCAGAGGGCCGTGACGCTGTGGACGCCATCTGCAGACACAGAGGGAGTCAGGGTCACTCAGACGCCACGGGAGTCGCGGGTCCTACCGGCCCCGTCCCAGGAGCAGCCTCCAGCACGCATGGCAGAGGGGAAGAGAGCCTGGGCATCCCCACTCCCCATTCCCCACCCTCGACCACCCCCTTGACCCTCCCTCCTCCAGGATCCCGACGCCCACCTGGCTTCCTAAAGCACAGCTGCAATCACATCTCTCTTTGACTCCGAAGCCCCCAGAGGGCCCCAAAGTGCTCAGCAGGGCACCCTGACGACCACCGGGATCCAGTCCCTCACTGCCCAAGACTCCTTGCACGCTTTGCTTCAGCCACATGGGGACCTGAAGCCCCCTTTACCTCCTCCGAACCTGTCCCGGCCTCCAGGGACCCCATCCTGCCCAATCCCCCAACAATTCTTCCCCTCTCGCAGCTCTGCTCAAAGTCTGCAGTGCCCGGAAACCCGCCCTGGTCCCACCCAGGGGACACCCCCGTCGACGTGCTGTGCTGAGAGTCCCACTTAGTTTGGCCGCACCCACGCCACTCCACACACCCGGCACACGGGAGGCGCTGAGGAGCACCGAGTTACAAAGACATGCAGCGGCCGCTCAGCCAGCGGTAAACAAACCACCCAGCAAGGTCCTCAGGAGTCTGAGGTCAAGACGATGGCGCACCTGGGTTGCAAAGGCGAGTGCAGCATCCGTTCCAGGTCAGAACGGGATGAGATGTTCAAGGGGCAGGCCATGGGGACCAGTAGCTCTCAGCACAGAGCAGCAGCCCCTGTCCAGGGGCCTTCACCTGCCGCCTCCAGACCTGGGCTCAGATGCGGGGTGGGATTTGCAGAAGAGCCTGCCAAGGCCACGCCCTCCAGGCCTGGCTCGGATTGTGTTCCAGGAGCTCCCCCACCCTGTGAAGCCCCCTGCCTGTGGCCCCCGAGAGAGCTCCCACCCTGGTTTCCATGGAACGTGGGGCCCTTGTGGCCCCTCAGAGTCCTGGGCCTCAGTAACTGCCCTAGTCAGGAGGATAGGAGCCAGGCAGGGAGCCAGAGAGGGCCAGGCCCTCCTCGCTCTCATTCTGGGGACTGTGAGGAAGTGTCCGGAGAGGCCACCTCATCGCCCGGAGCCCGGCACCGTGCCTGACACGGCACAGTGGCGCGTGGAGAGCCTGAGGAGAAGAGCAGCAGGCAGCTCCGCGCCCGGCCCGAGCCTTCCCGGCACCAGGAGGGACTTGGAGTCACGTAATTTGTCTAAACAACAAAGAAACACAACCAGCCACCCCAGAAGCCACAGATGCATCCAGGTGCGGTGGACCCAAGATCCCAAGAGATTCTAACAGAACCCACATCGCCCCCAGTTCACAGGCAAGGATAAACAGAGACACCGAGAAGCCAGATTTCATCACACCAGGTACGCGAGCCTGGCTGGGGGTGCCCAGTTCCACCCCAGGAACGACACCCGACTTGTGCGCTGGGTGCTGTTGTCTCTGCCAGGTGGCACTCAGGACAGTGTGGCAAGCCAGGACTCGGAACACGAAACTAACATGTGTACAACCCCAGTGTGGCGAGGGCACCTCTGGCTCTGGCATAAACCCACAGGCCTTCGGGGCTACACAGTTCTGTTAGCAACTCCCACAGAGCACCTCGGAGCGGGAAGGGGCAGCCAAGAGGGCATCTGCAGCTCACAGAAAGAGGCCGGTGAATGTAAAGAAGAGGAGTAGAGAAAAACACAGATGAGGCTTGGCCAGGTGGCTCACACCTGTAATCCCAGCACTTTAGGAGGCCAAGGCTGGTGAATCACAAGGTCAGGAGTTCAAGACCAGCCTGGACAACATGGTGAAACCCCATCTCTACTAAAAATACAAAAAAATTGGCCGGGCGCTTAGGCTCAAGCCTGTAATCCCAGCACTTTAGGAGGCCGAGGCTGGCGAATCACAAGGTCAGGAGTTCCAAGACCAGCCTGGCCAACATGGTGAAATCTCGTCTCTACTAAAACTACAAAGATTAGCCAGGTATGGTGGTGGGCACCTATCATCCCAGGTACTGAGGAGGCTGAGGCAGAAAATTCCTTAGAACCGGGAGGCGGAGGTTGCAGTGAGCCGAGATCACGCCACTGCACTCCAGCCTGGGCGACAGAGCAAGACTCTGTCTCAATAAAAGAAAAACACAAAGAAGCCCAAAAGGTCTGAGGCAAAGGACATGGTGGGAGATGGCCTCAGGGAGTGTGTTCCCTCCCTCCCCAACCCCAGGTGCTCATGCTCTGAAGGGCGCTTCCACTCCCCTGTCGGGAGCAGGGGGGACCTGAGATTGCTGGATCCTGCAGGAGACACATCCTTCAGTCCCTGGCCCAGGCTGCAAAAGGGCTGGAAGGTCCTGCCGCCTTCTTCCCAATGCCTAGACCCCATACGAGAAAGGGCACACTGGGGAGAAGAAGGCACTGCCATCCAGGGCCCTGGCCGGCAGAAGCCCCAGACCCCAGATACAGCACACCAGGCTGCTGAGGCTTGAGCCACCCCAGGGAGGGCCCAGACACCACAGAGCAGAGACCAGCCCCGCGCTGAGCCTGGCCACACTGTGAGCAGATAACACGACCAGCGCTGGAGGCCACTGGGTTTGGGACGCTTTGCTACACAGCACCAGACAAGGAAGCCAGCACAGTCAACTCGCAGGCCAACCGCTCAGAAACTTACAACACGAACCCTCACTGCCCCGGCAGAAGCAGTCATGCTTTGCTGGGAACTGAACCATGTCTCCTCAAAATTCATGTGTTGAAGTCCTAACCCAAGGGGATAGGTTTTGAAGATGAGGCCTCTGGGAGGTGATGAGGGTTAACAATGAGGTTATGAGGGTGGGGCCCCATGGGGGAGTCACATCCTTGCAGGAAGAGACAGCAGAGAGCTCACTCCTCTCCTCTACATCGGGACACAGCAAGAAGGCACCGTCTACCAGATGGAGAGGCAAAGCCCAGAGGAACCTGGCCACGCTGCCTCCCTGACCTTGGACTTCAGCCTCAAGAACTGTTAAGAAAACAAATGTTTGTTGTTTAAGCCACCCAATCTGTGGGGGTTTTTTGGTTTGTTTTTTTGAGATGGAGTCTTGCTCTGTCACACGATCTCGGCTCACTGCAACCTCCGCCTCCCGGGTACCAGCAATTCTCCTGCCTCAGCCTCCCGAGTAGCTGGGACTACAGGTGCGTGCCACCACGCCCAGCTAATTTTTTATCTTTTCAGTAGAGATAGGGTTTCACCATGTTGGCCAGGATGGTCTTGATCTCTTGACCTTGTGATCCACCGTGCCCAGATGATCTGTGGTATTTTTAAATGGCAACCCTAGCGGACTGACATATATTAATATAATTCAATGAAAATAAATGAACATACTAAGCACGGTGTTAAAGTTAACGTAAGTTAATATAGTATTGCCTCATGCAATGGTCATGAATAACTTTTAATTTGCTACAACCTGTTTATATATTCCTCTGCCAAAAATAAATTGTAAACATTCAGTGACCCTAAGCTTAAGCAATCATCCTTCTGAAAGCCTAAACACACACACACAAAAGACAAAGAAATCACCTCAATGCCGATCAGCTGGGAAATGCATAAACCAATCAGAGGAGCCACACGAAGGAATACTACGCCGCCATTAACATAAGTATGTCTAAAATACGTGCCAATAAAGTGAAAGGGACAGGCACAGTGTGGTTCCCTTTTGTGAGGGGGCTGCTTTACTTATGTATGAACACATTACATATGTATAGAAAAGTCTGGAAAGATGCTGCAGCGACTCCTAGACAGGACATGAAAGGGTGGGGTAGAAAAGACAGGATCGCCTTCCTACTTTACATCTCGTTTTGTGTTATTCAGATTTCTTACAATTAGCATGTACCATTTGGGTTTCTACAAATGCAATACTTCTTGTAACAAGAGAAAAGGATGAGTCGAGCACACCTATGTTCATAGCAGCGCTGTTCACGAGAGCTAAAAACGTGGATGTGACCTGTGTCCACCGACAGATTAATGGATTTTAAAAAAATATGGTCTGGCCGGGCGCAGTGGCTCTTGCCTGTAATCCCAGCACTTTGGGAGGCTGAGGTGGGTGGATCACCTGAGGTCAGGAGTTTGAGACCAGCCCGGGCAACATGATGAAACCCCATCTCGACTAAAAATACAAAAATTAGCGAGGTGTGGTGGTATGCGCCTGTAATCTCAGCTACTCAGGAGGCCGAGGCAGGAGAATCGCTTGAACCCAGGAGACAGAGGTTGCAATGAGCCGAGATTGTGCCACGGCACTCTAGCCTGGACGACAGAGCGAGGCTCCTTCTTCCCCCCCAAAAAAGAAAAGTCTTGAAAATAGCCTATGACCCATAGGCACTGCTTGGCCATGTACTGAACACCCCTGGGGCCTGCCAGCCTCAGTTTCCCTCCACCATTGTCCTCACGTGGCAGCCAGAGTGGTCTTCCTAAAATAGTGACCTCATCACCCCTCTCCTCTGGGGACCCTCATGGCACCCAGCATAAAATCTACACCCCTCTGTCCTATGGTCTACGTGATGTGGCCCTGTGATCCTGTGACAGCTCTTCCTGCCCCAGTGCCTTTGCACATCTCCTGACTGAAGCACTTACCTCCTTCTCAGACACTGGCTGCACCCCGGGGTTCCTAATGGAGGATCCTCCATGCTGAGCCCCTTACTCCCATCTGCCACATCCCAATTTCAGTTCTCACACAGGGGCAGCAGGGCTCTCTCTTTTTTTTTTTTTTTTTTTTTTTTGGAGACTGAGTCTCATTCTGTGGCCCAGGCTGGAGTGCAATGATGCGATCTCAGCTCACCGCAACGCCCACTTCCTGGGTTCAGGTGATTCTCCTGCCTCAGCCTCCTGAGTAGCTGGGATTACAGACATGTACCACCATGCCCAGGTGATTTTTGTATTTTTAGTAGAGATGAGGTCTCACTATGTCAGCCAGGCTGGTCTTGAACTCCTGACCTCAAGTGATCCACCTGCCTCGG